GCACGCCTCGTCGAGCAGCACTATGGGCCGTTTTCACGCTTATATAGGGACTTTAGATGCTTAAAATTAATTAGCATCAAGACAAATATGAAACTTATTGTTCGGTCAAATATTGAATCATACTATGTTAATCTATTGCGCACTCGCTGACATTTACCACTCAATTCCACACTCATTCTATATATCACGTCCACAATATACACACTTACTTTCACTCACATATTAAATGTCTGTGTAGCTACGTCCGTATGTATCTACAAATTCTATGAAAGTGGATAACACCTTACAGACTTTAAATAACATAGAAAATCACAGAGTAGCCAAGTGTTCGACTGTGAAGTCAACGTATTTACTAGCCTAATTCCCCCGGTATTACCAATGTACAATATCAGATCTATTTACTCTAACTTTGATGACCTTCAACTTAACGTAATAAATCTTAAAACAGACATCGACCTTATAACCTTAACTGAATGTAGACTAAATCCAAATAAAGAAATACCTCATTTTATCAACTACGATTCCCACCAATCTACTTATCATCTTAATAAAGCTGATGGAGTGGTCGCTTATATTAAAATTCACATAAGTATAAAATAAGAGAAATAAACCATAGTTTGCTTGGAGGTCCATATTTCACCTGACCTTACAGTAATAGCGATTTATCGGTCCCCCTCAACTACAAACGCTGACGAATTTATTCATTCCTTAAATAACCACCTAACTAACATTAAATCGAATAAAAATTTAATTATATCTGGTGACATTAATATAAATCTGATACTAAATCAAGGCGAGCAATCACACGAACGCACAAATAGACTCAATTATCTCAACATGCTGGCAATGAGTGGGCTTCTCCCTCGTCATTCGCTACCTACTAGAGGCAAAAACTGTCTAGATCATATTAATATAAAGGTCGAACCTGCCAGCAAAACCGCGGTAATTGCAATTATTCACACAATTATTACTAATCACTTCATGGCTTTCCTAAAAATTACAAAACAAATAAACGTAATTAAACCTAAAGCTAAAACAAAATCAGTTTTTAACATTGCGAAGGGGCTCGACCACATAAAAAATAGTAGCGTAACTGACCTGCTGCAACTAACTAACCCTAACATTCTTACTAATAAATTAATCGAAATTCTGCAGAACTGTATCATTCTTAGTACTATAACTACGGTGATCCCGTTAAAAAATAGAACCCTGAAGCCGTGGATGACTATTGGCTTATTGCGTTGTATTCACAACCGAAATAACACGCAATGGAGACTGAAACTTGATCCTTTCAATGATGTACTAAAAATTACCTACAAAGGTACCGAAGTTACTGCAAATACATCATTAAAAAACAAAAACTTAAATGTGACAGAGACAAATTTACCAAAGCGCACAAAACCCTAAAAAACGTTGGAGATCATTAACAAAATTACACTGCGAAAACCTAAAAATAATAATAACTTGGAGCTCCTAGAATTATCCAACGCCCCACAGAACTCTATTAACAATGTAAATAGCTTCTTTTATAACATAGGAAAGCTTCTTGCGGATAATACCACACCACCTCTATCTTTTACAATAAATAATAACTATCCTATCCCATACTTATCTGTCCATACATTGGCCACATCTTTTGTTCTCCTCGACACAGACTCTTGTGAAGTACATGCTACACTAAAGGGCTTAAAATCAGACAGTGCCCCCGGTTAAGACCATATTTCAGTTAAATTTCTTAAAGCTGCACACGAGCAAATTTTTCCAATCTTAAGTCATTTAACAACCCTTTGCTTTGAACAGGGACTTTTCCCGAATGCATTGAAACTAGCCCTAATAACGCCTGTGTACAAGTGTGGAGACAGATCAGACCCGTCAAACTATAGGCCAATTTCAGTATTACCATCTATGTCGAAAATTCTATAAAGACTTATAAACTCACGCCAAATTAGATACCTTTCTAACATTCTGTCGCCTTCTAAGTTTGGTCTTGTCTTTAACATCTGATATAGTTGACAAAGTGGATAAGAGTAGGAAATGTCTGGCAGTTTTCTTGATCTTAAAAAAATGCCTTTGACATAGTATCTGTCCCCATACTTCTACAAATGCCTCTCGAGCTCTTCAAATCATATCTAAGCACTGCAAACAAATAGTCAAAATAGGGAAACTTACTAGCTCAGAAGAGACAATTTTGTACGGTGTTGGGCAGGAAAGTGTCCTTGGTCCGACATTGTTCCTTATATATATTAATACCCTATGTAATATGACTATCGACGGATGTCGTATCTTCTCATACGCGGATGATACTGCTATCGTTTTTGCTGAAAACACTTGGGCAAAAGTTAAAAGGTCAACCGAAATCGGCCTGTCGATGATTGCAGATTGGTTCAATCGTAACCTCCTCACACTAAATGCCTCCAAGTCCAATTACATATGCTTCACCAAGTACACACACACTCAACCTCCACCCAAATTCCAAATAAAGATCCACTACTGTGCCAACCCCAAAATTTCTGATTGCTCTTTTACATAACTTGAATGGTTACAGTATACTACATACTTGGGCATCATGATTCATCAGCGCCTGTCCTGGTACATGCACACTGAACAGATAATGAAAAGGGTTAGGAGATAAATATGGACTTTTACACATTAAACATTGCGACACGTTACCTTTAAGAATCTTTTGCAGAAAGTCTACGTGACATTGGTCCAATCAATCCTTACTTAAAGTCTGCCATGCTGGGGTGGCACAACAAAAAAAAAATTTAGATCTTGAGAGGGTGCAGCGATCTCTGCTTAAAGTTATGCTTTTTAAACACTATAGATTTCCAACCCAAACCCTATACCTAACCTATAACCTATTGTCCGTAAGAAAACTCTACTTACTCCATATTATTCTAAGAAAACACAAATCCCTCCCATATGATCGCAAAAAGCCGAATATGGTTAGCAGAAGAAACTACTTGGTCGCTCCAATAGTCCCAGTTAGATCTGTTTTTGCTAAAAGACAGTATACAAGGCAGTCTTCTCGCTTATACAGCCAATTGAATAAAGAGCTACACATCTATCCTCTAAAACTTCTCTACTTCTCTAGCGTCCGCGACGAAAACCAAACTGGTTCTCGTCCAGGCCTGGCCTCTCTCTGCACAAGTGGCTGACGAAGCGATCTGCGATGATACGCTCAAGAAGTTTGCCCGCCTCGTCGAGCAGTACTATGGGCCGGTACGCGGACGATGAGTCCGCGGGGCGCCCCTCCTTCCTGAGTAGGACCAGCCTTCCCTCCTTCCACACACTGGGAAGCTGACCCTGCTCGAGACTGCTTCTTATTTTCTTCGCCTCCGTATATTTTCCGAAAATGCCAAAAATCACTAAAGATGTTGTTATACATTATAATATTAATCAAAATGTATGCCATTCCTATTCATACTTGAACCGGGGTGTACTGGGGTATATAGGTAAAAAAAGCACAGGCTTGTCAAACATTTAAAATGAGACTGCGTGAAGATTTATGCAACATAAACCTAAAGAATAAATTCGAAGTCTGTAGTATATTTTGAAGAGAATAGGTTAATAAAAATATATACAGTAGAGAAAGGAATATATTTAAAATTCACAAACACTTATCGTCAATAAGTATAAAGTAAAAACTTAAACAATTACATTTCTACAGAAACAAACAAATCCTCTATCAAGCAAAGTAATTTATCAATTTAACAATTAACTGTTTATAAAATCCGTAAAAATATTTATTTAGATCCAAAATAAAAAAATTGTAAGTATATAGTATAATTGTACATAATATTACTTAATTTTTTATTTTTATACTATATGTCCACGCTAGTGATGTAACGGATTCGCATTCGGGAATATCCGCATATTTTTCAATATTCGCATTCGCATTCGCAAAACTTATGCTAATATTTAGCGAATGTTTTTAATATTCAAAAAGGAAATTATTATATGCATGCATATGAAATAATAATACAATAGATATTTTTATTAAATCATACTTCTACATTCTAAATTAAAGTCTCATTTATGAAAAAAGAACTTCAGAGATCTGATCAAATCTAACATTAATCAGCCTTGTTACAACTATGTAAGGTTTGCATTTATTTAGTAGTATATTATTACTTTACTACCATTTTTAAATAAAGTTTACAGTTTCTATTTACTAAAAAACTAAACAATTATTACTTGAAACAAAATTATTAACCTTTAAATATCTAATGTATTAAGTATTTATAACCTTTGGCTTTAAATGTATATTTTTTCATTCCACTTTATATATCTGAGGAATTAAATTTATTTATAATGAATGAAATATGAACTTAAAAAACAAAACAACAAATACTTAACTATTTGTAAATAAACCTTTTTTCAAAAACAAAATTATAATTATTTTTATTTTAAACTAAAGTAAACTTCTAATACTATGTTAACATTTGGTTTTTGGTTTCAATTGCAAGGTACACAAAATATAGTTTTTCTAATAACATGTTGACTATTTAATTATTAAATTTGTTGTAATTTTTAGTTCTTAATAATTAAATTGAAATAATGGAATGTTAAATTTTAAAAATAAAAGTTTGGAGGCTCTTTCTCCGTGCAGCCTGTTTCGGTGAGGTGTGTAAAGTAGTCCAGCTCCACTGAAAACTCTTTCACTGGGGACACTTGTGGGCGGAGTTATCAAATATTATTTGGCTACTGGAGAAAGAATGCCATATTTGTTGCTATTTACTTTCCACCAAAGAAGTGGGTCTTCTTCATTTTCAATACGTTTATCCAAAACATATTCATTAATATTTTTTTATTAATACTTCTAATTGATTTGGAATATCATTATCTAGTTCTTCCTCGCTTTCACTTGAGTCCATCATCATTTTCATAGTTTCTTTTAATGTCACAGATTTTTTCTAAAAGACTCGTACTGGAGCCCGAGTTTTCATTATCCTGATTCCTTATTTTAGGACGCTTTGGCTTTGAACATGACGGTAAACTTAGTCCTCATCTCCAAGTGAATCTAAAATATTTTTCATGACTTGATCTTTTGTTGAAGGATTTTTGAAGAATTTCGTTTTGTATCTAGGATCAATAAACGTTGCTGTAGCAAATAATATGTCGTTTTCTAAGTGAGAAAATCTGTGTCTCATTTCTTGTTTTAAAACAAGTATAGTGTTCCTAATGCACTCGTCAGGTGCATTATATTCATCAATCACCTTTTCCAGAGTGGCCAATAACGGAATCACAGATGATATGAAAACATTGGCTGCACTTAGTTCTCGAGTTATTTCTTCAAAAGGTTGAAGCAATGTAATCAATTTTTTCCACAAGTATCCATTCTTCTGAAGTTAGTTGTGAAATTTTGTTGCTGGTGGAAGCATAAAGACACAGCAAATCTTTGTTTTTCAAAATGCGTTCTAGCATGTAAAAGGTGCTATTCGACCTCGTAACACACTCTTGGATTATCTTGAGCCTTGGTTGATTAAGCTTTTCTTGTAGATTAACAAGTTCATCTTGAGCTACATTAGAGTGGTGAAAATGTGTTGCTATCTTTTTACATTTGTTAATGGCTGCAATGATCGATTCTTGTGACTTAGCCCTTCTTTAACAACAAGTTGGATTTGGTGCGATAAACAATCAATGTTTTTAATACTTAATAAAGAAATACCTTTTTTCATGTTAGTGTCACCATCTCTTACAATACATAATACGTTTTCTTTGGGAATTACACATGATGACAACATAGTTTCTAACTTTGCCGCTATATTTTCTCCTGTATATCGCCCATCATTGAATACTTTTGCTTTCAATACAATCATTTTTCGTTCAAAATTATTGGTAATTCCGTGAGAAGTGAAACTTATCAGCGACACTCTAGAGCAAGAGTCAGACCAGATACCTCTGGGTAGAGACGACGTACCGGATATACCGATGGTCCGACAACGTCTCCACCCCTACGGCGACACGCCAGTCGCGGACTCGGCTGGCGACAGAGGGGCTGCGAGGGAGATGTCCACTATCGACCCGCCTCGCTGCCGCACGCACGTGTATTCCGAACCCCGGTTCAGGACGACCAGACCAGTCGTCACTGTCCACTCACTGAGGATCAGTGACTGGAGATCTCCACGCTGATGACTTTGCGTTGAGATCCCCGAGCACCAGAACGGGACGAGGGTGATAGCGGCCTACGACGGCGCCCAACTCGACAAGGAAACCCTCAAAGTCGGCGAGACTCTTGTTGGGGGAGAAATACAATACGATGACACCACAATAACGATGCAACCCAGCCGCGGCCCCGAGACGGGTCGATCAGAGTCTTGCCAATAATGGCCACCAAACCGTCAGCGCATCCCAGCCAGTTGTCACGGGCGGGAATGAAGTACGGTTCGGTGACCACAGTCACGTGAATCGACCACTCTGCCATGCTATGGAGTAGGAGATCCTGAGCTCTGGCACAGTGGTTGATGTTGCCCTGGAGAAAATGAAACTTTGCCATTATTGACATTCCATTCCCTCGGCAACGGTCCTGGACCGGGTGTCGGCTGCGGAGCTACTGGCCTGTGTGGGCAGCGAGGTTAACTCGGCAGGCTTGGTGCTCCTCCTCTTTTCCTTATTGGCCTTGGCCTTGCTGGTAGGCGCCCTACAGGCCCCTCCGCCTACTCTGTGCTCCGCTGGCCTTCCCGCAGCAGAGCAAAGGCTGCAGTTGAACGCCGCGGTGCACAGGACCGCCTTGTGGCCATTCTGGCCGCAGCGGTAACAAAGGTCACTACGGTCAACCTCGGCGGTGCACTTCGCCCGGCGGTAGCTTCATCCTTGCCGCCACCGAGCCTACCAGTAATCTGCCGCTATCGGCGATCTTCTTTGCCGACGCTACAGGGCACCGAACCCAGACCGCGCCAAGTCCGGTGGCATATCGCCTGCCCGCACCTTGTCCGGCGGACACTCTCCGCTTCTGGCAACGGCCGCCACCACCTCCTCAGATGTCACGGAGTCGTCCAGACCAGCAATCCGCACTTCTGCAGCTTTCATTGGTCTGGAGACCCGGACGTCCTCAGGGTTGAGGACCTCTCTCATCTTGGCGGCCAATGCGTCCGCCTTTTCGGTACTGTCGCTCACAGTGCCAGCCACCTCGAACAGCCGCGCACCCGTGGCAGCCTGTCTGAGGGTGACGGACTGAAGGCCAAGATCTGATAATTTGATCTTGGCCTGGGCCTCAGCGATGACCGACTGGTACGTCACGCCACGCTCCACAGCTCCGGGCTGCAATGTTAGTGTCACCGCATTGGACCGTGGTACACGTACAGCCGGTTTCTTGCGACCGCATTTGGCAGTCCGCCGCGCTGGTTGAGGAGCCGTCTTTGCAGTTCCACCTGGGGCGTGTGCAGCTGCTGCGGCCTTCTTGGCGGCTTTGCGGGCCTCCTTGCGGCCCACGACTTTCGCCCATGTCTCACCCTTAGACCCGGCTGTCCTGGGCTGGTCGCTCGGAGGAGCTCCCTCCGCGGGCTTTTTTTTAACCTCCGTGGGCTTCCCCTTTTGAGGCGCAAGTTTCGGCGGCTCCTCAGTCCTCCGCGTGTCAGCCGCCAAAGGCGGACGTTGGATTTCCGCCGAGGGACGCCGAGAAATTGCCTCCAGCCGAGCGTTAACAGTGGAGCGGGAGCGGCGGCGTTAACAGTGGAGTGGAGCGGTAACAGTGGAGCATGCAGAGCCGGACAATGCGCTCGACCTCTTTGTCGGTACGGGGGCTTGTCGGTCGCGGTGCGGGAGTCGGGGCCACTACAGATGCGGCATCGGTGTATGTACATCTCTGCTGCTGCTCGCTCAGTGCTGCGACTTGCTTCCGGAGGACTTCTAGGTCATTTCTGAGGCGGCTGTTCTCCTCCTGTAGCTTAGCGACCTCGTCAGAGGCCGTCCTGTTGAGGAGAATGCCAACCACCTCCCTGATATCCGCGGCAGCCTCCTTTAAGCCACGGGTGAACGTGCCCTTCAGGCTGCCGGACTTGGTGGCAACTTTCAGGACTAAATCCACCCCATCCAGAGCCAGCTGGCTCAAGGCCACCGCAGATGGCCCTCCTTTTTCCGCCGCCAGAGCAGCTCGTCGTTCGCGAGCGCGTCGGGCCATTTCAGACATTTCGTCAGCTGCGACGGCTTTGCGCTGTTCCCTCTTGGCGGCGTTGAGCTCCGACTTTGAACTCCCCAGCGAGGCACAGCTTTCGCCGCCATCGCCAGGGTCCTCCGTAGTGACCCCCATGTCACTCTCTGCTTCACTAGCCGCCGAGGTATTGGAGCACACGAATCGTCCCTGCTTATCCCTTCTCGGCTGCGAACCACTCACCCCTCTCGATGCCTGCCGACCCCTCGACCTCGAAGTCACCAACTTGGGGGCTGGCAGGCCTTCCTCGTCCGAAGACCGGCACACTGGACGTTTCCTGGCGGAAGACGTCCCACGCGATCTGTTCACGTCTGATCCATCCTGTTTTCCTATATCTACATTTTTCAAAGATTTATCCATTTTTTTCCCACGAGTGTGGAGGAAGTAACGGTCCATTCGAGCAGAGCCCCCTTTGCCCGGATAAGCCTATGCATAACCCATCAAGGGTGTCGGCCAGGTACCCTGGCGGGGGGGCAACGCTAACGACTGAACATTTACCCATCAGCCATGCAGCTCCTCACGGCGTGCCACGCTTGAGCTTCGGGTGATTTTTTATAGAGGTTATCATCCTCGTGACTCCAGGCGTTTAAGCCAAGAGCCATCGGCCCCTCAGGCGCCGCGAGACATGATCCAAGACACGCCAAAGGGATTCCGAGGCTCGAACGGTGGCAGAGTCGATACGGGTTCTTCCCATGCCTGCCCAGAGACCGGGTGAGGGAACTCTGAGGCCATTCAATTCCCGCGATGACATCTCACCGCGCATGTCACATCCTCTGTTCCTCTCAGTGGAGACGATACGGGAAGCAACTAGCAGGTACTTGATTCCATTCGGAACCAAAGGTACGCCCAAACCCAGCCAGTTTTGGTCCGCGACGGTTTCCCGCTACCACTCATATCTGAGTGGCATTCCCCTATCCACCACCTGGGGACGCGCCCGGTAGGAGGACTGGCAACTCCACACGGGCCTCAACCTAACCTAACCTAACCTTACCATCGCACATCCCGACAAAACTCACGATATCATCTATACCATCTGGATGACTGGCGGCGTTCCACCACCGTGCGATTTAAAAGAAGATTTCTTCCTCTCACAACTTCCTTGTGGAATCGAATACCACCAGAGATTTTCCCGAACCGATACGACTTAGGGTCCTTCAAGAAAAGAGCCTACTCCTTTTTAAAAGGCCGGCAATGCATGTGTAATTCCCCTAGTGTTGCAGTTGCTCATGGGCGGCGGTAATCACTTACCATCAGGTGAGTCGTATGCTCGTTTTCCTCTACTCCTATAAAAAAAGCTAGAAGGAAGGAATATAGACAAAAATGAGATCAGTAACATCAATACCGAGGAGAACAAGTGATAGAAAATCATATCGATGGAATAAAGAACACGTGTAAAAAAACATTACCTCTTATTAAAATTAAGAGATCTCTCTCCCTTATCAATATGTTTTGTGAATAGTTTCAATCCGAAAAAAAGCGGCAGGTCCAGACGGTTCTGTTCGGTTGTAATATTCCAAGCACCAGAATTCTTCCTAAGCATTGTGAACAAATGCCTACAACTGTCACACTTTCCGATAATCATGGAAAGAATCAAGAGCCATTGTGATAAGAAAACCAGGGAAAGATAACTAGATAGATGGCCCGAAATCTTACAGATCAATAGGTCTATTGACAGTCATGGGTAAATTGCTTGAGGAAATTATCATTAGGAGGATTAGATACCTCCTACCACAAACAAATCCAAGGCAGTATAATTTCGTCCCCCAACGCAGCACCGAGGATGCTTTGTATGACCTTTTACAGCACGTGATATAATATCTGTTTGTCCAGCTAATCTTATGGGTAAATTTATACAAAACATTTTGAATTTATTATGTACTTTCTTCTGAATAAAAGAAATAATTTTAAATGTAGGTTGACAATGAAAAATCATATTTATATTTACTCTTAAAACTAATTTACTTACGTAATCCAATTACAAGGGTGCTTATAAAATGAAAATCCTTTTAGTTTATAGTTGATATGGTATTGTTTTTAGGTCAAAAAACTACTACAAATTGAACATATTTTAATATAATTAACAGCACAATGATTTTTTTAATAAAAGAGGAGTACTATTTTACTTATTTTAATTTGTACTTTGGATTATAAAGTTTTTGATCATAAACTTTGGATCATAAACTCGTATCTAGTATTGAAGAAGTACAAAGAAAGAGATCGCGAATACTTACCTTAAACAAAACTAAGAAGCTCGTGAGCGAAACAGTAAACAACAGAAAAACGGCGCTTATATAATAGTATATTTCGTTAAGTGAATCAGGGATTACAACATGAAAATGACAGTACACAATCGGGACTTAGAGGCACTGCGGATCGGATCGTTCAACTTCATTATTGACCAGTTCTTCTGTTCACTTTTCAATCGGTCCACTCTTAAGTCGTACACTTCTTATTGATATTGTAGACTATTTTTAATAAATTTTTAAAAATTCATTAAAATATCTATACTGGTCTCTAGCATTGACTTATATATTATTAGGAAATCATTACTCTCTAGTTCTTTAAGGCGACAAGGTACTTGCAAAATTCACCCAATGGATGTTAGACGAATGAGCTCATCGCATTGTACAAACTTTATTATATTGAAATAAGCATAGCACATATTATATAATAATTATAATTTTAAATACAAATATCTTTGAATATTAAGACAAATATAAAATCAAAATTTAAGAGTTTATATTCTTCATGAATCGTTCGAATAATGAAGATCAGTGAAATTGTAATAGGTATAGCTTAGAGACTTAGCCGAGATATATTCATACTCTTGCAAGTCGAATTTGAAACGGGTAGGCAAAGAGAATATAATCACTACGTTTATTCACACGCAGGTGCAAACAGCGTCGGCTAGGTTCACTAAAACTTCTAAAAGTAAAACGTAATGATTTTTATAATACGTATGTATGTAATTCCTCTAAGGATTACATACTCTTTGGTGTCAGTTGTTTTTGCTGATTATATTGACAAGATGTTTCTACAACTGTCAGAATAGAATTATTATTAAAATATTACTTGACGTGATCATATGAGTGTTTTACGTGCGGCGCTAATGTTGAGTCTATTTGTATGGGAGATAGGTGGTGCAAGCAATAATAGCACCTATGCATTTTTTCGTGATCTTCGCGGTAGCAGAGTGGCAGGAGCACGACGTATATTCGGCGGCGCTCCAGCACAACTGAGCGAGTTTCCCGCCGTTTGCGCTTTGCTGGACAGGTTCTGGTCAACGCGATGTTCAGCTTCAGTACTATCCTCGCACTGGGCGCTCACAGCCGCGCACTGTATCTCTCCATTCATTACCTATATTAAATACAACACTCGGCATCCAATCTACACTGAAGGGAACGTCGTAGCTATTCATTACTCATACCAACATCCTGAGTAAGTGGTCCTTATTAGTCCATTCATATCAATCATACCAATTTGTTCAACATAATTATTATAAAAAACGTAAAAAGGTTCTTATGTATTCGTACAATACAGTTGCATACAGGTCTTTCAAGAATGTTTTAATATATATGCGTTATTAAAATATAGTCATACAGAGCGGGCGTGCGCAAAGCGAAGTGTGTCTCTATACATGGTAGAGCCATGCTGTAATTATATTAGTAGTATAGTTGTAGCACGAATGGGTTAGCTCGACCGGGGACGGACCACGCTCTCACGGAATACCAGCATAAAATAGTAGTTAAATGCTGTTGTGTTTCGTATTAGAGAACGTATGTAGAGAAACGGAGACCCTTTGTACTGGAAACGATGCATTCCATCTTAGTTCTCACGGGTGACAACGCATCTGCGTTTTGATATGTAATCGAGAATATATGTAGATGTCTCTGGGCCGCAGCAAGCACTTACCACCAGGTGGGCCGTGTGCTCGCGTGTCTCCCACCCTACAGCCAGCTCCAGCTCGCGCTGCTTTTCATCGTCAGTCTGTGGCATCTGGACTCAGCATTTTCCGTCCGACCGTCAGTGCGATGATTTTAATAATAATTATTTTTTTTAGCAATAAAATTTGAATACAAACCTATGGTTTTGAGTGAGTATTATTTTTTTACTTACAATGCAGGCAAAATTCCGTAGCTAAATCGAAGTAAAAAAAAATTTTTAGTTCATAATATAAATATCACTAGATTATTTCTTCCGTTTATTATCCGCTTTCCAGTATCGGATAACCAGACGCTGAGAATTGCCACCCATTAGGCAGTAGATATATAAAATAATTCCTTCCAAACCAAATTTGAATCCCAGCCTCAACGGAGACTGAGCATCTGCGCGGGACAGGATTATAGTGCATGTGTGTGCACAATGCGCTCTCTATTCCAGCACCTCATAGTCCAATAGAACGGCAATCTGACACGACTGGAGTGTGATCGGGTGGTACCAACGGCTGCACGTGCTTTCCGATGTGTGGATGTGAACCACTGCCAACTTTCAGACTCCGGTTAACCACCAAAGACTGAACCTTCACCTTTAAAGTTTAAATGAAAGAAATTTGTAGTATTGTATTATCTCTTTGGTATTTTTATTTCTTGATACTTTTTTATAGAGTAAAGGATAAACGAGCATGGTTCACCTGATGGTAAGTGCTACCACCGCTCATGAACAACTGCAACACCAGTGGAATTGCAGGTGCATCGCTGATCTTTAGAAAAGAGTAAGCTCATTTTTTGAGGTCCCTAAGTCGTATAGGTCCGGAAAAATTAGACGGTGCGAAACGATTCCACAAAGAGGTCGTACGACGACAATGCAATATCACCAGAAATTTTAACGTGTATAGTAATTTCTTTTCTTGAATAGGTATAGGGTTCTGCAAGAGGACAGTGGTCGTGGCATGGACGTCACGCTGCTCCACCACGACGTGGGACTCGTTCGAACAAGGGACGAAATAAAGCTCCACGCTTCATTGCCGCCTGATCCTTTGTTGAACTTTCGTCGCTACGAGCCGATGAATCTTTTTCATAAAGAAGTTCAAGTAATACCACTTTGCGATATTATGATCGAAAAACATTATACAAAAACGTGACAACCAAGCAACAGTCCACCTGGTGGACTATCTAAAATAATTTAATCATTATGTGTGACGTAAGAGAATTTACATATAGACGAAGCATGATGTAGCTATACTATTATGGCAGTAGCACCAATGGCTCAGCTCGACCGGGGAGGACTGTAACGATTACGGTAATAATATTTCAGATTTAAACATGGTAAAGTACTGCGCTCTCACAGAGCAGCAACAGCTTTATGCTGTTGTGTTTTGTAGTTTGAGCGTAGAGCACGGAGACTGTAGAGAGAACTGATGCTTACGTCCGTTGTTATCTAGAATATGCTTCTCAAGTTTGAAATCCGTGTTATGCGTCTCATATAAACAATATTTCTTATATTGTAAATTTAACTTACCTTATGCTGATTACGTGGATCGCTGCACACGACTTTACCTACTGCCCTTACATACGCGGAGACAGAGCTGATGTCTGTTTTCTAACAAAAATAGCACAAAATAAAATGGATTGTCCGGAGCTTCTCTGTAAAATCTTACTAAGAACCCCTGTTAAAAACTACGCAAAAATGTATTACTCCATGTACCAATTTGTTATACTAATTATAGAAGTAATAATTTTATACCAAGAGCATTAAGGTTATTGTATTCTGAAAACAACGATTCAGACTGCGATAGTACTACGTACATTAAAAACTACTCTTACAATAGATTTCGTAAAGTGTTGTTGTTGTAAAGATGTGTTGTGAATGTATTATTTATATTATGCTTATAGTTATGTGGAAACTTTTTATTGGCATATAGGTTACAGTTGACATATAAGCTTTGTATTGATATAGTGATCAAGATTTTAAATATAGCAGTAAGCTCCCCAAATAAATCAAAATAAAATAAAACGTACGTGGTAAACGTTGCAACTATATTATGGTCGCAGCACGAATGGCAAGGCTCAACCAGAGAAGGACCTCGCTCTCAATGAATACCAGCGTAAACTAGCAGCTCAATGCCGCTGTGTGTCGTGTGATGAGTGTAAAGAAACAAAGACCCCGTGCAGGTTTGTCACACTTATTCTTTAAAAAATAACTAAAAATTAATAGCGATTTATTCTTTAAGGCTCTTTGCGTGTAACCGTGAGTGTAAACGACGAAACAAGTGCTTCGATGTTTTATAATCTATAATCTTTATTGATAAACATATTACATGCACCAAATTTACAGTGGTCATTAGCCCCTAAACTAGGACATAATACCTGTATTTCAGGGGCTAGTTTCCTTCCCTATTCTTAGTTCTATTTCTATAATTTGTTTATCTATGTATTATATTTATAATGTTTATTTATTATATAATATTAACAAGTATTATTTAAAATGTAAAATTTATGACATTAAAAAAGGGGAATAAAAAAAATTAATGTTGGCACTATTGCAAATGTGTGTGTGTGTGTGTATGTGTGTGTGTGTGTGTGTGTGTGTGTGTGTGTGTGTGTGTGTGTGTGTGTGTGTGTGTGTGTGTGTGTGTGTGTGTGTGTGTGTGTGTGCGTGCGTGCGTGCGTGCGTGCGTGCGTGCGTGCGTGCGTGTTTGCGTGCGTGCGTGCGTGCGTGCGTGCGTGCGTGTGTGTGTGTGTGTGTGTGTGTGTGTGTGTGTGTGTGTCTGTATTAGCGTGTGTTGTTTACATGTCCAAAGAAAGAAGGCTCTCCGTACCTTCATAATCAAAACTTTTCAGCCAGTCTGTAATTTTGCTTTTCACTTCAAAGTTTTTTAGTGATCTTATGTTATGATATCTGTTAAGTTTATTATATAGCCTAGGGGCTAAAAAGTCAAAATGTCTTCTAAACACAGCACTTTTCGGTTTTGGAATAGGACATCGTTCTTTTCTCTTATTGCTTCGTATTAGTTTAGGGACAGTGACGCGATGATACCTCCTTAAACAGTGATAAATAAAAGTTTTGCGGACGGATAACACCTTCGCTTTGTCATACAAAGACACTGTTGATTGGCGAAATGGTAGACGAAAAATGACTTTTAAAATAGCTCTTTGTGCGCGTTCAACCTTTATTAAATAGCTTTTAGCGGCACCGCCCCAGGCACAAATGCAGTAGGTACAGAGACACTCTCCCAATGCTTTGTATGTTTTTATAAGTAATTTGCTATCGGTTACTGTTCGTAAATTTTTAAATATATAAATGAGTTTTCTTAGTTTATTAGCTACTGCATCAGTATGGGCATCCCAAGTTAATTTA